CCAAACTGGAAACCTTGAAAGGGGACTGCTAGTAATATATAAGCACTTGAACTAATATATGTCCAACTGTGAGGGTATGTGACTATGTGAAAAAAATTGCAGGGTCAATCCAAGAGTAAAAAAATTCATTCTTTGATCTTTGAATGTGAGATTATCTTGAAAGAAAGAAAATAGATCCGGGTATCTGGAAAGAAGTACCTCAACAAAGCAGTCATGGAAAATGTTCCTGAGCCAAGAAAAGGCAGTATTCTTGTGACGCTTGTAGAGAAGTCTGACCTGCGCTCTGATGAGGTCTTCAGCTTGAGGGCAGGTGTCTCTGTAGAAGTTCAAAGCAAGGCCAGCAGAAATGGCATCCTGGGTGTTGACTTCTGCCCAGGCAGAGAGATCTGATTGGAAGCAGGTGAGGGTTATGATTACGAGGAAGGAGAAGAGAGGTATTGAAGAACCCATTTTGGTTGGTCGGCCCAAAATGGGTAGTGCTGATTGATATTGATGTCCTTTGAGACCAGGATAAGTCACTATTTCTTCAATAAAGATTAGACCTTTATTCTCTATATATAGATATATAGATTAGAGAGTAAACCTTAATCTTTTTTTGTCTTATTTTAAAATGAATACTAACTTCGTCTCAAAGTTGCAAATTTGACTTTTCTTAGTTAAACAATCTCGTTTTGTTCACTTAAGTAGGATGCCAATTTTTAATTATATTCTAATTTGGAGTTTACAACTTTGAAGAGATTTTAATGTAGTTTTTGAATATGTAAATTTTAAAATTGAATTAATTATGCACATGGAGGATTGACTTTTATTATTGGTTGACCAAAAAAAGTTGACTTTGCAAAACAAATTGGGAAGGAGTACTTTCTACAATTCAAGTGGAGCATGAAAGTAGCATTTTTTATGAATCCACTGCCCATTTAAACTTCGTATCCTCCACAGAACACTAAGGTGGTGTTTTACTTTGTATAAAAAGAGAGTGATTTTCAATGTATAGTTTTGAAAATTTAAAATTAGCTCTTTTAAATAAGCGAAAATGAGAATTAATCATTCAATCTCTTAACGGTCTTCTTATCATAGTCCCACTTTTTCGTTATTCATGAATAATCCAACATTTGCACCTTATCTTCAATCACTGGTCTCTGACTGATTGATGACCTATTATTCCAAGTTATTTTCTTATCTTTGCAAACCATTATACCATAAATCTCACCTTTCAGAAAGATAATATTTTGCAAAGATAACAAAATAACTTGGAATATCAGGTCATTAACCGGTCAGGGCAGGCCCGGTCCTAACACATCAGAGACCCTGTGCAACAATAAAATTTGGGCCTTTTATTTGATGAAGTAAAAACATACTACGTAATACATTTCACACTATATTAGTAATAAATTATCAATTTCAGAGTAATATTATATGTCAAATTATAGGTTATTAATTAACAATTTAAAACTATCAAAATAAAAGTATTCATGAACAAATTTCACTTTATTTTAAAAGAGATATTGTTTGAGCATATTTTAACTGAGTTATAATCAATGTTCTAAAAGACGCAAGGCGACAATACTATGTTTTTGAAGCCTAGGCTAGGTTCAGACGTGAAAAGATGTTTTGATTTTTATACTTTATTGTAAGTATGCAAGTCTAATATTACAGATTATGTTACAAAAAACATCACTTTTCAAATTTCAAGAGAATTAGATTTCCAGAGTCTTTATAATATTATGATCACTAATTTCAAAATTTGAATATAAATTATTATGACTAAAGTAACTAATATAGTCAGTATATTAAAAATCAAATTTTTATAAATATCATTTTTTATCATAAATTTGTAATTATTTTTTAATAATAATACCTCACTCAATATTGTGTAGCATATTTGCTAGTATTTGGAACACCATTATAATACTTCCTGAGAAACAAACCTCATGTTGTTAGCAGTGGACCTTGCTAGCAATTTCCCACACCGGGCAAAAAAAGAAAAAAAAATTAGCACTATCGTTTTCGTTTTATAAATAAGCATTTTCCAGCTCCAATTTATTTATGTACTACGTATTTGTCTTTAAAAGAGGCAAGACGTGTATCTAAGTTTCTAATTCATGAACCTTGTTTTTGGGCCGTTGAGGTGTTTTATACACGCCTTACTGCAAGGCCCATCAGGAGGCCTTTTTCTTCTGAATTTCGAAATACTAGTTACGTAGTACGGAGTATAATTGTACAAAAAATAATCTTTTTTGGGCTTTCAGTTTTTTTGGGCCCTGTGCGGCTGAGCTGCCCGCACATGCCCTAGGCTGGCCCTGGGTTAGGGACCAGCAAATGAAGATGGGGTACAAAGGTTAGATTATTCTCGAATAACGAAAATGTAGGACTATTGTAAGAAGAGTACTACTAAAAGGTTGGATTATTAGTTTAATTTCTATTTTCCCTTTAAATAAGTGGGTTTTCGATTGAAAACTGCAAAGTAATTTAAATGTTCTAAAAGTTATACATTTGACTATATAAGTTACTACCTCCATCCCACTTAGGGTCTCCATTGCCAAATGGCACGATTATTTAGACAATAGTCAGGGACAGAGCCACATGTATGAATGTGGTGTCAATTGACACCACTCAAATATTTTTTTAGCTATTTATATAGAGGTAAATTTTCTGAAAACTAATTTGACACCACCAATATAATAGAAATGTTGCCAATTGACACCACTCAAATATTTTTTGTAGTTATATACTCCCTCCGTCCCCGAAAGAAGTTCCTCATTTTACTTTCATACACTTTTATGCAAGTAAACTTGCCAGTGGGTAAATTTTACTGTTTTGACACTGTTTGACACTGTTTTGCACTGTTTGGCACTGTTTTGATGTAGATAACTTTCCATTTAAGAAAATGGGAACTTAAATTAGGGACATCCAAATAAGGAAAGTGGGAACTTCTTTCGGGGACGGAGGGAGTATTAAGGTATTTCATTCTAAAAGTTAATTTTAACACCAGCTCTATAAATGGAATGAGGGTCAAGGTATAAATATATATGAAATAATTACAATAAATCAGTCTTACGTGTAGTGATAACACTATATCATAGTAACTTTTAGTGAAATCTTTGTAAATAAGTTTATTTCAGAAATATTCTTGGAATGTTTTTTAAAGTCAAATATATACATAGTATATATAATATAGAGCGTTTTTTGACATCAAAGTGGGCCATTGTACCTATAAATGCATTATATTTGACCATCAAATAAGCTTTATTTGATTGTTTGAATTAAATTTTTGATGATTTGAATGATTGAATTTGAAACATAAAATGATTTTGTATCATTTTATTATATACGGAGTATTTGAATTTTGAGTTGTTGGGATATGAAATAACTATTTAATTGATATGTACTCCGTATTATTATTGGTGATAATTGATACTACCTTCACGATTGACACTACTAGTAATAATTGATGCCAACATTAGGACATGGGGAGGTGATGCGGTCATTAAAAAGAGTGGTTTATGCGATAATCTTAGTGGGACATATCGAAAAGGAAAGACGAGACAATCTTAGCAGGACGTTGGGAGTATCATATAAAGTTATTTTGCCTATTTTAAAACCTGAAAATTGACTTGACAATTGTAGAAGACGTGTTTTTATCAATAAGTTTATTTTTAATATTTTTATCAGAAGTAGTATTTTGTTTAAAAAAAATGAACCCACTGAAATGAGGCGCTGGCTCCATCCCTGACAATAGTTAAATAAGGTAATTAAAATATATTTTGAAAAATAGTTTTGATGAGTATAAATATATTAGGGTCATTGATGATTACTCTGATATTATAAATGTTTTATTTTTAATATTGATGATTAACTTGTCATTAAAAGTATTAATTATTTTTTAAAATAGAAATGAGAAACTTTATATGGGAGGTCCAAAAAATGAAAACGACAACCTTAGAATGGGACGGAGGGATCACATTTAACGAATTAATAGTTAATTAAAAAAAATGTGTTGCATGCATTTATGACTCACTAAAAAACATGACATCAAGTGTTATTCATTGTTTTCATTGTTTTCATTAATTGTAGTTTCATACTTGTCTTCTCATCACTCAATTTATCACATGATGATATACTTTTGATTAAGGTTATACATTTAGATTTATAAAATAAATTTAACGAATTTATACTTAATAAGAAACCTGTCTTGATTGCTTTTATGAGTCAATAAATATAATTAAAAACATAAAGTATCAAGTGCTACTAGTTGTTTTTATCATAGTTTTGTACTAATTTTATAGCACTTCCACATTTTGTCACTGTGAAGTTGTACTTTTACTTTAGGATTGTTGAACTGTAAGTTATAATGTGTTTTTATAAATTACGTTATTGATTCTATTAGTTAAAATTTCACACTTTTCAGTCGAAAACGCATTTCTCATGTGATCTTTTTCCTATATATATGAAGCGGATTTGGTACAAAATAGTCTTATTGTGCAAAAATGTGTACGATGCATTTTTTACGTTGCTTTTATTGCATATTAATGTTCAAAGTGTTGCATATTAGTCTATGTTTAAATAACCAGTTGTATATTAGGATTCAAAGTGTTAGATTAGAAAAAAGTTTGGTTTAACTACCAAGATGTTACTATGCTTTTTAAGCCATTAGATCTTTTAAATGATTGGCCGAGATTAGATTGTATTTTGTAAATTAATAGCACATTGTAATTGAACTTTAATATATACTCCCTCCGTCCCCCTAACTTTGTCCCGTTTTACCTTTTTCGTCTGTCCCTTTAAGTTTGTCGCATACCATATTTGATAATATTTGGATAGTTACAATTCATTCTTACTTTATTTATACTTTATCAATTCATTACCAACCACACATTTCTACTTTTCTTAAAAACCACACCACACTCCTTTGTCTGAAACGGAGATGAAGGTAGTATAGAATTTTCTAAATAAAACGAAAATAAATTTGAGTGTACAAATAATTCGGACAACGTGTAAGACTAAGATAGACGTGTACAAAAAATTCAAGATGAAACCAAATCCGGTCAAGAAATCTTATCCACAAAGCACAAACCTCATCCAAATGTCTTCTTCCCCACTCCTGCACCTCTCGTTTCAATTCCAAAAATGCCGTCCATCCTACACACACCAAAATCTCATCTTCCCACAGAGCTTTCCTGCAAGCTAGCTCGGGAGCCTAATTAATTATGTCATGCTCCCACCCCGCAATGCTTCTATCCTCCACCCACCCATCTCCTTCCTCCTCGCTCTCTTTCGCCTCCTCTCTCAACCCTAACCACCTCCCTGCCCACAATCCTTCACCACTCCCCTGCCCCACCTCGAGACCGTCGATTCGATGCGACCTCCGGCAGCTCCGAGATCGCATCGTTTCAGTGAAGAACACGGGGAAGATCACGGAGGCGATGAAGCTGGTGGCCGCCGCCAAAGTGAGGAGAGCTCAGGAAGCTGTGGTCAACGGCCGGCCGTTCTCTGAGACCCTCGTCGAGGTTCTGTATAACATTAATGAACAGCTCCAGCAGTCTGATGCCGTCAATGAGATCCCTCTCACTCGCGTTAGGTACTAGGAGATTAATTAGTTAATTAATTGCGGGGTAATTAATTACTTATTACTACTCATTTTACCTTTTCGGGAATTAGCTAAGATTGTCTCATTTTATCTTTTCGGGAAGTCCCACTTAGATTGTCCCATATCATATTTGTTAAAGATTGTGTAGCTCTAAATCATTCTAACTTTATTCTTACTTTATCAATTTAATATCAACCACACAAACATACTTTTCTTAATAATCGTGTCACCTTCTCCCGTCCCAATCTTAGTGGGACGGAGGTAGTACATATTAATTTCTGTTCCATCCGTTCCTAAATCCTTGATCATAATCGATTACAATATTATTAGAACTTTTCTCAACTTATTTACTAATACATGACTACAGTTTGCCATTTTGTCTCTTTACTTTTCCTATTTTGGACTCAATTCTAAGTTGACAATATCCAAATGAGACATAGATAATATGTGTATGTAAATATTTAAGCATAAAATACTACTCGTAATAAATTACTTTGAAAATTTCCAAACGACTGAAAATGTTTGAGAGTAATTACTAAGGAGTACTAAGTTTGGAAATTAATGTCATATTCAAAGTCTGATTGAAGTAATAAAAACATGATTAGCCTATCCTGAAATAAACAAAAGTATTTACTCATATTTTACGACAATTTCCCTAAATGACTAGGACTAAAATGACGAATGGATAGTCACTGTAAGCTTACACTTGAAAAGTCACATTTTATACATTTTATTTAGGGAAAGTTTCCGAAATAGGACTAAAAAAGTTTGGAAATTCCAAAATAAGACTGTCATGTTTTTATTCCCAAAATAGGACTATCTACTGCCAAGTTTGGAAAATACTGCCATGTTTAAAGTTTGGTACTGCCAAAACATGACAGTAATTAGTCTTATTTTGGGAATAAAAACATGTCAGTCCTATTTTGGAATTTTCAAACTTTTTTAGTCATATTTTGGGTAATATCTCTTTTATTTAATATGTAATTATTTCATATTATTGATCTCTAGAATTCAAATTAAAATGAATATTCTGCCTTTGAGTTGTTAGGCCGGTGAAGAAGGTTGCTTTAGTGGTTATCACCGGCGACCGTGGACTCTGCGGCGGGTTCAACAATAGCCTCATCCGAAAAGCAGAGGCCAGGATTTCTGACATAAAGAGCCTCGGGATTGATTACACTGTGATAAGCGTGGGTAAAAAGGGAAACTCCTACTTCAGCCGTAGACCCCACATTCCTGTGGATAGGTTTCTCGACGGCTCTTCTCTGCCCACCTCTAAAGATGCCCAGGCGATAGCCGACGACGTCTACTCGCTCTTCATCAGTGAAGAGGTGGACAAGGTTGAGCTTCTGTACACAAAGTTCGTGTCTCTGGTGAAATCAGAGCCTGTGATTCAAACGTTGCTCCCCATTTCTCCGGTAGGAGAGGTCTGCGATATCAATGGGAAGTGCGTGGATGCAGCAGAGGATGAGTTCTTCAGGCTGACGACAAGAGAGGGGAAACTGACGGTGGAGAGAGACGTTAGGAGGCGAGAGACACCGGAGTTCTCGCCGATCATGGCGTTCGAGCAGGACCCGATTCAGATACTGGATGCGTTGTTGCCTCTGTATCTGAACAGTCAGATTCTGAGAGCACTGCAGGAATCAATGGCCAGTGAGTTGGCTGCCAGGATGAGTGCGATGAGCAGTGCGACTGACAATGCTAATGATTTGAAGAAGACACTGTCTATATCATATAACCGAGAGCGCCAGTCAAAGATTACTGGTGAAATCTTGGAGATTGTTGCTGGTGCTAATGCCTAACATATCATTCTTATCATTATTGCATCAATGCTTCAAGTTTGTTGTTCTTGTATTATTAAGTAATTCAAGAACTGCAATTCTGAAGCGAGGGGTAGATGGTGATGATACTCTTATATTTTGTTCTCCATTTCATACAAATGCTTTGCTTGAATACATGAGAAAATGGTGTATTGATTGATAAGGATTAACGCCATCTAGCTTAGCTACCCATATAATGTTATACTAGTATACCATAGTACATAGACCATAGTATAATGTATATGTCCAGATTTTTTATCTGGAATTGATAAGACATGAAATAATGAGAAGTCCTTGAGTTAATTGTTTGAGACAAGAGAATTCGTTAATGAAGGTTAATGAAGACAATACTTTCTAGGATTAGTATGAACTGTGAAATAGCCGAATAGGGCCACCAAACTTAGAAAGTTACACATAGGTTTTTAATACTTCGATTTCCCTTTTGATGGTTGGAATAGGGTTTTGACATGCTTGTAGAGTTGTAGACCTTTTAGTATTGGGGTTGATAGGTGCTATTTTTTTTCTTTTTTTTTGTTTTTTACTCCGGGGTTGGGGGGGTTGGGGGTCTGGGATAAACTGCGATTAATCTCACTTCATTGAGGGTGAGTCGACGACCAGCTGGATTGGAGTCGCTGGACTGGTTCCTCTATTAGATGCTATTTAAAAACAAATGTGGTGGCCAACTATTTGTATTGTCCGATAGAGATCTAAATGCTCAATTCTGGCCAACTATTTATATTGGACATCATAAAGATAGATGGGGTTTTATTCATAACAAGGAAAAGGTATGCCACATTTTTTTGACAATAAAAGTGTGCTGCAAATAACTACTCCTATTTTTAGTGAAGATATTGGTATCTTACATTCTTACACTTTATAAGGGTTGGTTTTTGAAGACTCACAATTCATACGGATCGGATGTGTAGGTGTAGCATATGCTACATGCCTACATTTGAGGCATATATATGCAAACTAAGATTTGTTTTGGAGGGTAGGTTTTTACGAGTGATCTGACGATGGGCACAATAAAAAATCATTTTAGATGCCGTGAAGAAAAATGGATAAGATAAAAAAAAAGATATTAGAGCATATGTAGTGGTTATGGAGGGCTTGATGAAATTATGATGTCAAAAACCCTGTTTATTTCTAGGTTTGGTAGCTATGTGATGTTTAGAAGTACAACCTTTTAGATCTTTTAATTTAGTAAATAGTACTATTTTTGGTTGCTAGAGAAACACAATCTAATCATTTGTATTTATGCAAATAGAGGTTAAGAAGTTGTTCTCTTCGTCTTATTCTTATTACTTATTGTTTATTCTTATTTTACTCAGATCAGATCAGAAAAATTCAGATCAGATCAGATCTAAAACATTCAGATCAGATCAGATCTGAAACATTCAGATTAGATCAGAAAGATTCAGATCAGAAACATTCAAATCAGATCAGAAAAGTTCAAACATGATTTATCACTTTTATTATTATATTAATTATAATAATAATTATTATTATCACTATTAGACTACTAATAATAGTAATTAATAATAACAAAAGTTATAATAATGTATTAATAATATATTAATAATAAAAGTAATATTATTATGAGAATAATAATAATATTTTCATCATCATTATTATTATTATAATAACTTTATTATTATTACTATTATTATATTATTATAATAACAGTAACATTTATTATTATTATTATTATTATTATTATTATTATTATTATTATTATTATTATTATTATTATTATTATTATTATTATTATTATTATTATTATTATTATTATTATTATTATTATTATTATTATTATTATTATTATTATTATTATTATTATTATTATTATTATTATTATTATTATTATTATTATTATTATTATTATTATTATTATTATCATTATCATTATTATTATTATACGTAGTATATTATTAATATAATATAATAATAATTATTAATATTATTATTGTTGTTGTTATAATTATTATTAATATATGGAGTAATTATAATTATATTTATAATTATAATTACAATTATACGTTTTATAATTAATAATAATTAAAATATAATTACATTTATAATTGTATCTATAGTTATAATTAATGTAATAGGTATAATTATTATAATTTTAATTTTAATTATTATTACATTTTTATAATTATGATTATAAATATAATTTTATTTAAATTATATTCTTAATTACAATTATAATTATAATAACTATATTTATAAAATTTTAATAACTATAATTATAATTATAATAATAGAAATATCCAAATCAGATCAGAAAGATTCAGATTAGATCAAATGGATTCAAATCAGATCAGAAACATCAGATCAGATCAGATCAGACCAGATCACAAACATTCAGATCAGATCAGAAAGATTCAGATCAGATCAGAAAGATTCAGATCAGATCAGAAAAATTTAGATCAGATCAAAACTTAAAAAATTCAGATCAGAAACTTTAGATCAGGTTAAGAGAACAATTTCTAAAACTATTTGATTGATATAATTGCGACACTAAGATGTACGCTATTTTGGTGGCAATATGAAGTATGCCTAATCGAGGAAAAAGCTGGACAAAGATCAATGAGATAGAGAAATTCGTAATTGAGTAATTCTTCGAAGTGAGATACATAAACTATATTTGTTCACATATAGGGTTGTGCTTGGTTTAGAAAAGTAATTCTTTTTTAAATCAAGCACAAAACTTAGAGCTGTACAAACTTGATGTGTGTATTTCAATTGAAGAAAAATGTCGGTTGCAAGTCTCAAGAAAAATGAGCAATAGAAGAATTGAAATACCATGTAAACATTGCAATTGTTGGAATTTTCCTGTATAGGATACAACCATCACAACTAGAGTGTTATTCAAGGGATATGCATGGATTGTCCTAACTTTATGGTATAAATCATACACGGAGTATATAATTAAGCAATTATACGACTTAATGTTGAATGCATGAAATGCTTAGTCCTTGCCACTCACTCCCTTATGGGTTTGGGAACCCGAGATAGTTTAAGTTAGTTAAGAGAAAAGTAGGTTCTAAGAATAGAGAGAAAGTGATTTATTCATGGTTGTAAAACAAAATGAAAAAACCCGGAATAAGAGGTCATCTACTGGTCAGGGACCAACGAATGGAGATGGGTGCAAAGGTAGGATTATTCATGAATAACGATAAAGTTGGACTATTGTAATAAGATCACTAAAGGTTGGATTATTAATTTCCCAAAGTAATAAAAAGGGGAATAAAAGAGTTGGACTAGCGAATGGAAATGGGATGCAAAGGTTGAATTATTCATGAATAACGATAAAGTTGGATTATTGTAAGAAGACCGCAAATGTTCGATTATTTATTACTTCCTTCGTCCAAAATTGATTGTCACATACTATTTGAACACAACATCTAAGAGAATCAAGAGATTGAGATAAATGTCTCCAATAATTCATATGCAAAAGGTTAAAATTAGTTACTGCAAATTTTAAAGTGATAATACAGATGTCACATAAAAATTACTACCCCGTCCTATTTTATGTGTCTCATTTAATTATGGCACAATTTTTAATAAAATGATTGAAAAGATGAAAATTATGATTGAGATTTGAGTATAATAAAATGAATGTTGTGAACTACATATTTCTTTTTAAAAAGAAAAATGTGAGACTTATTTTAGGACAATCCAAAAAGGAAAATACGACAAGTAAAATGTGACGGAGTACTAAAATGGAAATGTATCATTAATTTGGTACACATTATGGAGGAAATACACATTACTCTTTTTTTAGACCAAGAGCATGTTTGGCAGACATAAATCTCTGACTTCTAACTTTTGTACTGTTCAAAAAGTCTCTAAAAGCTTCTATTTGTTTATTTGGCATGACAATTTTAAGAGCTTTTCGAAAATTAAAAGATCTTTTTTTAGATGCTACAGGGAGTAGAATTTGCAAAAAGCCCGTGACTTTTAATATTAATTAGTCTTAACAGCTTGTATACCAAACCAAACTAAATTAAACAGTCATTTTTTTACCAAACAGCTAACACATTTTCTTTTTAAGATCTTTTCAATCACTAAAAGTTACTTCATCCGTCCCTAAATAAACTTCCAACTTTCCTTTTTCGTCCGTCCCAATTAAAATTTCCACTTTCCCTTTTGGCCAGAATTTGTGGTTCACAACAATTCTCACGCATCTCTCTCTCCACCACACAATACCCACTATCTTAAGCTGTGTGTCAAACCTATTTGGAAGCATGGACGGATCCAGAATTTCGAGTCAAGGGGGCGAAAATTTTTCATTAGCTTAGTGCAGGGGGCGAAATTTTTTTCGCTAGTGTAGTGGGGGGGAAAATCGCTAGTGGTAGTGGAACAAAATTTCTTCACTATTGTAGGGGGTGAAATTTTTTCATTAGCTTAGTGCAGGGGGCGAAATTTTTTTCGCTAGTGTAGCGGGGGGGAAAATCGCTAGTGGTAGTGGAACGAAACTTCTTCACTATTGTGGGGCTCTGTCGCTAATTTTTATTCAAAAAACCTTCATTAGTACATACACGACAACATTTAAATCTATTACGTAGTACATTCTAAGTTTTTTTTAACGATAGTACATTCTGAGTTTAGACAATGAAAAAATAACTTTAATTTTGTAACCGTAAATGCTCTAGAAAAAAAGTATTGATACATTAAAGCATAAGAAATTGCAAATCGAAGGAAATTTATTTGAAAATAAAAAAGGATATATAACATATTGTCGAATTATTTCAAGGTAAAAATTTAAAAGATACACATCAATCAATGCCTTTTAAATAACTTATTATGCCTTGTTTAACCACATAAATCTTGTCAGAATAAATTTCCTTTGATTTGCATTTTTTGTCAGAATTGATTTTTGAATTGTTGTTTTTGTCTACCAAGGAGGGTATTCATAGGTCAAGAGAAGTTTTTTTAATACTCCGTATTACAATAGTATATATGAGATTATTATTTTTAAAATAATATTCTATGTAGTATTGTTAATTCATATATATGGTGCACATTATATTTGTATTAATGCTAAAATACGTTAAAGTTTATTATTTATGCAATAAATTGCTTTTAGAAAGTAAGAAATAAATGAATTGTATAATTTAATGTCAACAAACATTTATATTTTAGATTCACTTCGCATGATCTAAAACTGTTTAACTAGTGTGTCTGTATTTAATATCGTTTGATCTTTTACAAAATTTAGTACTAATTATTTAAATATTACAGAGCTATGAATTTTTATAAAATAGGTATCCTAAGTCTTAAACGATCTAAATTATTTTAAATTTTACTTCTTT